CTGGCACAGATAGAACATTTTTCAAAGCATCCTGAAGGCTTTCCCTCAAACCAAAATGGCAATATTGCCTGACCCAATTTGTCTAACGCCTTCTGCTGACCTTGGCGCTGACAGAAGAGCCCTAGCAGTTTTCGGGAAGCTAGAAAATCAAGTGTGCGAGCGCCAGGCCTGCAATATAGTTGTGACAGTAACATGGGGCACATCTCTCTATATGCACCAAACCTGCAACCTTTCTTCGAACGAGAATGCAATTGCTTGCTCTCCTTGAGTAAATTTGCTGCCTCGTGGAGAGCTCGGCTCCTCACCAGAACTGTAAGTGCAAGGCCCGTGATCACCTGAAGGGCTGTTAATACTTGAATGAACACTGTCAGTGCTCACATCTGCCTGCGCGAATTCAATCGTGGAAAGTGTGCGACGACCAATCACAGCAACAGGGTTGGACAATGAGACTGGTGGAGTTACTGTGCCATGAATAGCGCAGTGAGAATTGGAGGCAATACTTAAGCGTGAATTTGTTACTCCCGTCCACAGTATCTCATTTAGATCGCTCTGCAGGGCACGGCGCACGCGCCAGTGTGCAGTCATTCAAGACACATCAGCCATGTGCTCTACGGTCGCGGTGTCAGTCAACACAACTTCGCTGACAAAAGCAGCAGACCAACAAATCACTGAAGAGTTACCTACAGCGTCACCGCATATTGTGACTTGAACAGTTTATGCGGCAGATAACATAAATTGCGTTACAAACACAACTTACTCTCACGTTCCATGCTTGCTGTGGTGGTCCATTTCAGCGTATACGCCAACACTACGCGGTGGGGAAGAAAGTGCTTCGAACGCGCAAATTGCGGGCATGCTTACCGAAGAGGTCAAGAAACAATGAAATCGGGAAGACGATGCCTACGAGGCTTTGACAGTATTTGCACTGTAGTAGCTTCGAGCTCCTTTGACACTGACAAGCCGACTGACCAACACGCCGGTAAAATTACGCCGGGTTGCACTTTGCTGATATTGTTGTGACTTGTTGGTGATGACAATAAGGCTATACCCTTTGGATCGGATTACCTGTGCTCCATGCGCGGCGTAGCCTGAAAAAAAGAAAACAATAAAAAACCCAATGCGAATTTCCACAGTTGAAATAGAAGCGTGTTCACTTTGTTCGAAAGAAACGTTTCAGTACGGTACTTCCATCACGACAGCGCCACTCGGTGCAATCCTGGCGCTGGCAATAGATGCGCTGTGTTGGCGTTGGCTCACAGCAAGCGCAATTGAAAATTCAAAAATACCTGCATGCCAATAAAAGATAACAATGAAATAAGAGTAAATTTCATTAATACTTTCTAAATTATACGTGTTGGTGGTAAACATACTTGTTTTTATAAAGTGCGAAACCACCGCTCGTGTGGTCTACCACGATGTGCAGCGAGCTAGAATCACTAGAGTTACTGCTGCCCTCATAGACTTAATATAAGAGCTCTATGGCTGCCCTGCCAGAAGTTTCTTGATTTTCAGGGAAATGACGGTGCAGCAGCTCTAGCAAAAAAGATAAACAATTTCTTATGAAAGCACAATACAAATATTACAATTTTAGGGTGCATGAAGATACACAATTGTGCACGCACTTGAACCGTGCACTCTTGAAATCGCAGTTTCCGATAGATGGCTAAAATTCAACATAGTGAGTTCACCGCTAACTTGAACTCCCAAACAAAGCCAACAAAGGATGTTTTAGGAATGATCGCTATGCACAACTCCAAAGGGCATCTTAATAACCACCGTGTTGGAATGACCTATATGCACATATTCAAAAGACATCTAACCTCCCCCCCCCCCCCCCCCCCCCTGTTGGGACGTTGGGATTTTTTCGGGAAGTCCTTTTGATGTTTTGTGTTGTCTGGGTGCACACTGTTAGAGCCTGATCATGGCAACGACACAAGCATTGCTTAATTGGAAATTAAATGCTTGTGTTCCGTTGAAGCAGCTGCATGATGCTTACAGCGCAAGTAGTGACGATGGCGTAATATGTTTGCAAACCACCACTACGTTAAACATTCGGTCCTGTGCAGCCTCGACAGCAGGCCACTCGCTAGTGGCCTAGTACTGTGGCAAATCTGCCAGACAGGCTCGGCACTATGATCTTATAGTGCCGTTCAGTTCATTCGTGAATTCTAGTTACGCGCAGGATTACGCAAAGCATCATTGATACACGGTCGATCAGCTGGCACCATCGCCCTTTGCATTGCGCAAAGGGATAAGGTAGCGAAAATTCAGCTGTTCCTATGGGTCGGAAAGTACTTTTGTTCGATAATTATATTCATTTGACGATCAAGAGTTCATTCGTTAAAAGCGGCATAGGGAGTACATGCGTCCGTGCGTCCTATCTTTTCTAGTGCATGTTCACGGGTTGATCGATCATCCTTCCGCAGCCATCTTCGATTGCACGGCGCACCACGTATAGGCAGTGGGCATTGCGAATAGGCTCAACTTTCACTCACTCTGGCATTACTTAGGCTACTCGTAGTGAATGTCACTGTTACTGATTATGATAGCGATGTCAAATGAAAAGCACGAATATCCGCAGCAGCACCTCGATACACTTCCAAACGAATATCTTCGTAGTGTCACTCTATAAACACGCCAAGCAATTCCGCTCATTAAGAAGCGAGAAGCCCCGCTATTTTTAAGAAAAGAAAGACGTGGGTGACCACGTATTCCCTGTCGGCCAAATACACTTCGAAATCTACTGTATGTTATGCATATAACAGCCCACCTCCAGCCGGCGTCTTTTTTTTTTCTTGCTCATTTCACCGCGATGCATGCATGTAGAATGGTGAAGCGTTGACAGCATGAGCACTGTCATTCATAGAGAACGCGTGCAAGCAAGGGGTTTGCGAGTAGTGAATTTCAAAAGCGAATTTAATACGCATACAATAGCGATACAACCAAATCGAACGCTTAAACAAACCTAATACTCTTCTGATAGTTTTCAAATAGTAAGAAAACTTTTTTAAAAATAGCCCTAGAACTCCACGACAGTTTATTTGAAATAAGTATACTCAAACTCTCATGAAATCATACTTCAATTATGTAAACTGTGATAAAATTGTATACAGCAGCGACCAGAGAATTCGAAATATTTTTAAGCTGTATGTATAAATACCGCAGGAACTACATAATTTAGGTTGAAACACTGTTGCCTGCTTTTAAGTGAAATGGCAGCACAAAATCTAAACAATTTTGAACGGAACACCATGCATTGAGCTAAAGATTCATTGGAACAGGCAAAATTACCACAACATACGCCCTGGCACAGAGAGCATGTAAAAATCAAGAGTTGAAAGGTGTATCTGTAAAAACATTTTACGGGAACCAAAGACTTGCAAGTGTTTTTATTCGTGAAGCCGAATGCAGCCGCTGCATTCGGTTCAAACTTCAGTGATGAAGACAAGAAACGATTAAGGCGATGCAGCTCCATCATAGTAAAAACACAGTGGAAGTGCAGTTTCCAGCAAAAATGCTTTATCTGGTAATGGTTATAGCATCAATAGTGTTGCCAGCACTTGGGCTGTACTTATTGTGATAACTAAGGGATTACAAGAAGAAAATAAACCTTCAGCTGATCCTATGTTTTGCTGTTTCAGAGTGGTTCAACAGGTTCTGATCATTTTTAAAATATTTGTTACTTCGTATATGTGCCGTTCAATTCAACTACCGAATGCTATTCGATTCATTATACGAATATTCGCACGCCCCTAGTAATGCTCTCGCCACCGATGACCCACCATCAATTTGTGTGAATGTGATTGCGCACCTGTACACATCATGTTTCTTTAGCTCTGTATACCATCCCTCATTGAACACTCCCTTGCACATGCCTCAAGGTAAGTAAACGGAATAAAAGAAAACGTACTTGGCACAAGTGATGCCAAATTGTGACATGAAATTGGAGTAAAAACGAAAGTGTACTTGGTAAAAATTGCTCTGAATCTTTCCGTTCATTGGCAAGAAGGATCAGTTTATAGCACTTTTTTATACTTAGATTACATCAGTAAACTAAGCATGAGCGTCTTCATAAGCACATGTTTATTATTGCATTATTAGTGCAATAATTATAAAAACACAAGGCTAGGCAACACAATGAACTCAGCTGAGTTAGGAATGAAATTAACACAGCAAATTACAAGCTTTGGAAGCATTCATTTTCTGGCTCAACTTGAGTCAAATGCCTACATACTCTGGGTTCTTTGTGGGAAAAAAAAAGAAAAAATGCAACATTTCACATCAACACCTAAATGTTCTCCTAAAACAAAAAAGGGACATGCAATATGTCGATTGTTTTCGCCACAAAATTTTGGATATGAGATATATTATTATGGCTGTCACAAGATGTGCTGAAAATGAAAATATGACTTGCCATTGCGAAATGCTTGGAGAATGTGAAGTTTACATTGCTACTTCTGCTATGTAAAATGCTATATATAAATAGCTAATATATATATTGCCGCGAACGTAATAACAGACAGCGACGAAACGACGTCTTGCTTATCCTCAGACCAGGACGCAAAAGCCCTCTTCTTTCTTCACTTCCAAGGGATTCCACCTACAGTTGATGGCTCATACCCATTACCTGTGAATATATATATATATATATATATATATATATATATATATATATATATATATATATATATATATATATATATATATATATATTGTGGGCATTCATTATGCGCTTCTTCTTATATATGCATTATCATCATCATCATCATCATCTGTCTCTGTCACAGTCCTCATCTTCACAATCATCATCGGGTGTGGGCGCGCTCAGTCTCAGACAGTCAGACTGCCCGTTCGCTGCTGAGCCCATGGCTGAATAAAAGCTGTCTCAACCCAGATGTTATACGTGGGGGAGGTGGATTTTCGGTCCTCGGTCTTCTCCCACCTCGCTCGACTCCCTGGAGCTGCGTTCAGGCCGCCGATTGCCCCCACTGTCGGGCAGCATGTCACAGAACGAGCCTGCCGGCGCTGCTGCCATCACTGCTGCCATTTCCCCCCCGCCATCTTCAGCCGCGCCTCCTGCTCACGTACACAGCCACCAGCCTGATCCCCCTCTCTTGGATCAGGCACTGCGCCGTGTCGCCTGTAGGCAGACAGAAATTAGGTGCCTTCTTCCTTTTCCTCATGAACCACTACCACCTACCACCACCCTCTCTTGGACGGTCGTCGCGGGGAAGACGCGGAGGACTGGCTCGATGAGTACAGCCGCGTGAGTGTTGCGAATCGCTGGGACGATAGCGCCAAGCTCCGTTACGTCTCTTTCTACTTGACCGGTGTAGCAAAGACGTGGTACTTTAACCACATCATCGACATACCCGACTGGGCGACCTTCGAGCAGCAGCTCCGTCACGTTTTCGGCACACCGGCCATTTGGTCCCCAGTCGCGAAGAGAACCCTTGACACTCGCCAACAACATTCCGGTGAGTCGTACACGTCGTACATCGAGGACGTTCTTGTGCTCTGCCGGCGGGACAATTCATCTATGACGGAGTCCAACAAAGTACGCCACATTTTGAAGGGTATAGGCCCTGTTGCCTTCAATGCCCTGGTTGCTCAGAACACGGATACCATAGCCGACGTCGTCGCAATATGTCAGCGCCTCGATACTTTGGACTCAGTTCGTCTACAACCAGACATAAGCGAACAATCCAACAAACCTCTCCGTGACCTGATAAGAGACATAATACGCGAAGAGTTGTAGAACATGGGTTTCACACCTTCTCCACCATGTTCTCCACAGTCTACTGGGGCGGCATTACGCGACATTATCAGGAAGGAACTGACATTTCTGAACTTTCCGGCTCACGTCCCATCACCCTCGTCTCGGCCCATACGAACCTACGCGCAGGTCACTGCTATGCCTCCGAGTGAGGTAAACACGACGTTGCCACTGCTCTCGTACGCGTCGGTCTCTGCCGCTTCTACCTTCAACTTTCATTCGTTCCCACCTGGCCCTTCCTCTGCACACCTGACGGCGCTCTCTCCAGGTACTCCGCATGGTTTCTACCCTTCCCCCTGGCGCTCATCTCACCCAGTTTGCTATTACTGTGGGTATTGCGGCCACATTTCTCGTTTCTACCGCAAGCGCCAGCAAGACGAGCGCCGTGGTTGCGACATGCGTGAACGAGATACATTTTACTATCAAGGCCAACGTCATTCATCACCTACACGCCGGTCTCCCTCTCCGCCCGCATCGAGTGCACCTCGGAACAACCGGAACTCCAGACGCCGTTCATCATCACCCTTTTGCCGCTCCTCCTCCCCACTTCGGCCTGCCTCATTCGTCACTGCCAGTTATGCGGAAAATTAAGTGATGTAGTTTCTGGGCGAAAAAGTGCATTCCGAATTAGGACTGATATTCCTCCACTAGGCCCGTGCAACATGATTTCGGTGGTAGTGGAAGGAGTGTACATGGATGCTCTGGTGGACACGGGTGCGGCATTTTCTATTATGCGCGTTGATTAAGGCCAACGTCTAAAAAAATGATGACCCCTTACGATGAAACCACGTTGGTTGCTGCCCAGGGGTATACCATTCGCCCTTCCGCTCTCTGTACAGCCCGCGTTTTTATTGATGGCATCCGACACCACATTCAGTTCGCCGTCCTGACTGACTGCTCTCACCAATTAATTTTAGGGTGGAATTTTCTTTCTTCTGCCTCTGCGGCTATTTGCTGTGGCCAATGCGTCGTCCACCTCACCGACACGGACTGCACGCTCAACGACGACCCCCAGAGGCCACTTCGCTTGACAGCTGCGGAAGATACCGAATTACCACCAGGTCAAGAGTGGATTGTAGCTATTACCTCCAAGGACGCCGACCATGGCGACGTATTGGTCTCACCATCATTTAGTTGCGTCGGTAAAGGCATTCTCGCTTCCGGTGTAGTTAGGTTTCTCAATGGTCCCGCACTTGTCACCGCTGTGAATACAACATCCGAAAAAATTATATTTCCCCAGAACACCACGGTGGCCTGCGTGACAGATCCCGAGCCTGCGTGCGTCGTGCCACTTCATGCCGTCTCCTCCAACAACAGCCCTTGCAGTGAGCCTGCTTCTTCTTCCGCCTTTACTGCAGACATTATTGACGACTTGACAGCTTCACAGACGCAACAGCTACTTGCTTTGTTAAAGAAACACGCAAGTTCCTTCGACGTTTACTGCTCGACGTTGGGCCGCGCTACTACTATAACGCATCAAATCCACACAGTCGGAACATCTGTTGTACGCCGCCGGCCCTACCGCGTGTCTCCTTCTGAGAGAAAAATAATCGAAGAAAACGTAGCTGACATGCTCAAACGAGAGGTAATTCGCCCTTCATCTAGCCCTTGGTCGTCGCCTGTGGTTCTGGTTCGCAAGAATGCTGGCTCCGTGCGCTTTTGCGTCGATTACAGGGCGCTCAACAAGATCACTCGCAAGGATCTGTACCCAATGCCTCGCATCGACCACGCCCTTGATTCTCTACAAGGCGCGAAATACTTTTCCAGCCTTGACTTGCGTTCCGGATACTGCAAATTCCTATGCACGGATGAAAAAGAGAAAACGGCATTCGCAACCCCCGAAGGGCTATACGAATTCAACGTTATGCCTTTCGGGCTGTGCATGATCGATACCATGCTGCGTGGCCTTAAATGGAAGACCTGTCTCTGCTACTTGGACGACATCGTAATTTTTTCGTCAACGTTTCCTCAGCACCTGCAACGTTTGGATGACGTTCTAACGTGCCTTGCCGCCGCTGGTCTCCAACTCAACACGAAAAAATGCTGTTTCGCCACAAAAGCTATCAAGGTTTTGGGCCACGTCATGAGCAAAGACGGAATTCAGCCAGATCCGGACAAAATTGCTGCGGGGCTTCGCTTTCCGCGCTCCGAAAGGCCGAAAGAGTTGCGAAGTTTTTTTGGTCTCGCCTCCTATTTTCGCCGTTTTATACGAAGCTTCGCATCAATAGCGGCTTTACTGCACCAGCTTCTTGCTTCCGAAGTGCCCTTTCTGTGGTCGGAAAAACCTCAAACGGCATTCCACCTGTTGAAGTGTGCGCTCACGTCCGAACCTGTACTCCGCCACTTTGATGAGGCCGCACCGACCATCCTACATACGGACGCTAGCGGCTGTGGTACAGGTGCCGTTCTGCTCCAACGCGACACCTCTTCACAAGAGAGTAGTTGCATATGCCAGTAGAGTATTAACCACAACCGAGAGGAACTATACCATAACTGAGCAGGAGTGCTTGGCTGTGGTCTGGGCAGTGCAAAAGTTCCATCCCTATGTCAACGGCCGTCATTTCATGATCGTTACCGACCACCACGCCCTATGCTGGCTTTCCACGTTGAACAACTTGTCTGGACGCTTGGGTCGGTGGATTCTACGTTTACAGGAGTATGACTTCGATATCATTTACAAGTCGGGTCGAAAACACCAAGACGCCGACGCCCTTTCGCGCTGCCCGCTACCAAATACCCAGCTCAGCATCGGTCAAAGTTCGGCCATCACATCTACTGCAGCACCCATGCTGGCCTCAATAGACCAGCTATTATCAGACGATAAGCGCACACTTCACTCCTGCCAGTTGTCTGATCCGGACTGTAGGCGTATTATGGACCAGCTGTCAGGAACCTCCCATCCACCTAACGTGCGGCATCGTCATCAACTTTTACGATTCAAGCTGGAGAATGGAGTTCTATACCGGCACATCCACCACCCTGATGGTCAACGCTAGGTTCCCGTGTTACCACACTCTCTCCGACTTGACGTTCTTACACCCTTCCACAATGACTTGACTGCTGGATATCCGGGTATTCAAAAAAACTCACGATCGCATTTGTAGTCGCTTCTACTGGCCCGGTATTTCTACTAGCATCACGTGCTACGTCGGTTCCGGTGTCCCGTGCCAGCATCGTAAAATCCAGACAACTGCACTGGCCGGGCCTCTACAGCCAATTCCGTGCCCCACAACGCCATTCGAGGTTGTAGGTATCGACCTTTACGGCCCTCTTCCCGTCACATATACTGGCAAACGATGGATAGTGATCGCCGTTGACCACTTGACACGCTACGCGGAGACAACGTCTGTATCTACTGCCTATGCTTCGGAAGTTGCCGACTTCGTTCTGCACGCCATCATTCTGCTACACGGAGCCTCTCGTGTATTGCTGAGTGACCGTGGAAAGGCGTTCCTGTCAGAAGTGCTAAATGAAGTATTGTGCACCTCTGGAATAACACAGGACAGCTTCAAGCTACCACCCTCAGACCAACGATATCACTGAGAGGTTCCACCGTACTCTTGCTGATATGATAGCCGTCTACATCAGTCCAGATCACAAAAACAGAGATACTCTTCTTCCATTCCTCACCTTTGCTTACAACACGGCCGGTTATTCGCCATCCCGCCAACACCGGTTATTCGCCATTCTATTTCGTTTATGGACGTTCCTCTACTTTCTTTCTCGACGTTTCCTTTTTCAACAGTGACGTCAAGTCGTCTCCATCTTCCAGCGAGGAATACATTTCAAAACTAGCCCGGTGTCACGATCGTGCTCGCATCAACACGGAATCGCGACAGCAAGATCGAAAAGTCATTTATGACGCATCCCATCGCCTTGTATTCTTCCGACCTGGTGACGAGGTGCTCCTGTTCACACCTATTCGTACACCTGGTCTGTGCGACAAGTTTGAGCCTCACTTCATTGGGCCTTACATAGTTATCGAGCAGACTTCACCCGTTAATTACCGTGTGACCCCACTTGTCCTCCCAACAGACCGCCGTCACCGCACCACAGAGATCGTGCACGTGTTTCGCGTGAAACCCTTCAGGTGACGTTCTCTGCCACATTGACTTGCTACGGCCAGGTTGGCCACTTCGATGTGGGGGGAATTAGTGTGGGCATTTATTATGCGCTTCTTCTCATATATGCATTATCATAATCATTGTCATCCGTCTGGGTCCCTGTCCTCATCTTCACAATCATCATCGGGTGTGTGTGCGCTCAGTCTCCGACAGAGTCAGACTGTCCATTCGCTGCTGAGCCCTTGGCTTCATAAAAGCTGTCTCAACCAAGACGTCATTATATATATATATATATATATATATATATATATATATAATATATATATATATATATATATATATATATATATATATATATATATATATATATATATATATATATATATATATATATATCCCTTTTCGACCCCGAGTCCAGTAAACTGGACATACAAAAAAAGCGATTACTACAACTAAAAATCGGCCAAAGCGAAAACCGAAACCAATTTTCAAGCTTTCCCCAGACCATGAGAAATATCTCAATTAAACTAGTTCCTGCCTTGGCCACATAGGCTTGAGGGGGCAGCACACAGTAATGGCGTCTTACAGCGGCAGGCCGCCACGTGCAACGCGCTCAAGTAAGTGGTTTTTTAGAAAGAGTCATGTTTGTTTAATTGATGTAGCAAAATTTTGTCTCGTTAAATAAACTCAACTCGAAATGATGTTATTTAAAGATCGCCTCAAATAAGGGTAGTTTGTGCACAACGCGACAATATTTTTATGTCCAGTGCACTGGACACTGGGATTCAATGCTTGCGTTTCGTTGAAAAATATCCGTGAACGGAGTTTACGTTTGATTTTAAATACGTGACCCAGAAAATAATAGTTTCTAACTTAAAATCGAAACATTTCTAAAATTTATTGTTTTTTCTTGCAAACTAAGTTTGAACACACTTTGGTTGTTTTGTTTGCAGAAAAAGCGCTGACTGATGACGAAATTCAAGAACTATTGTTTGGAGACGAGTCAGATCTTGATGTGGATTCAGACTCGGGTGACGAAGCGGAAAAATTTCAACCGGAGTCCGCGCTTCATAGCGAAGAAAGCGACGAAAACGAAGATAAATCCAGTGAAGATGAAAATGTCAAAAACAAGAAGTTTGAGAAAACACTTTTAGAGGAACGTACACGCCAAAAAGCTGCACAGTCCTGGAAAGTGCAAGCATTTTGGGCTCCAACTGACATCGAAAAAGCTACAGCTTCACTAGCCTGTCAGGAGCCTCAGACGCCTTTGACATATTTTAAGGAGTACTTTGAGGACGACTTTTGGGAATTTGTAGCGACAAGAACTAACTTGTACTGGGTCCAGACAAATGGAACCACGCTCGGTATGACAGCTAAGGAGGCCAAAGCTCTCTTCGGCATCCACATCGTAATGGGCAGCCTGAAGTTTCCTCAAGCGCGTATGTATTGGGCAGCGACCCGAGTATCATTGATTGCTGATGCCATGCCGCGAGATCGATTCTTCCGACTCAGAAACGCCTTGCACGTCTGCAACAATGATAGCGACCAAGATGACAACAACCGATGCTGGAAGGTTCAGCCGCTTTTAGATCGTGTGAGGAAAGCCTGCCTGAAAATTTCGAGGTCGCATGCAGCCTGTGTGGATGAACAAATGGTTCCGTTTACAGGAAGAACACAACTGCGTCAGTACGTTAGGGGCAAGCCAAACCCGACTGGACTGAAGAACTTTGTGCTTGCCGACCGTCTAGGGAGGGTACTGTACTTTGAAATTTACCAGGGTGCCACGATACCAATTCCCTCAGAGCACAAGGACTTCGGAATCAGCGGAGGGATTGTCATGCGGCTTGCTGAAACGATGCCTCCTTGGGAGGACTGCGTGTTGTGTTTTGACAGGTTTTTCACGTCGGTGCCGCTAATTGAGCGTCTTCTGAAGCAAGGAATGTTCGGTCACGGTACTGTTATGACGAACCGAATAAGGACAACCTTGAAGTCTGATAAAGAGCTGCTTGCTGATGGGCGCGGATCAAGCCACGAGAAGGTGAGCGCTGACGGCAAAATGGTTGTGGTTAAATGATTGGACACGAGGTCAGTTACGCTGCTGTCTTCGTGTTGTAGAACCGAACCAGTGGACACCACAAAGCGATACGACAAGAAGCAAAAAAATATATATGTTGAAGTAGAAAGGCCAGCATGCGTCCGTTTCTACAACAATCACAAGGGTGGAGTAGACGTGAACGACTTCCTGATCAGCCTCTACCGCATAAGAATGAAGACTAAAAAATGGTCTGTTAAGGTCATTTTTCACTTCACTGATCTCGCTTTGGTGAACAGTTGGCTCAATTACAAGGAAGACACCAAAGAGAGAGGCTACACAAAGAGCCAAGTGCTGCATCTGCTAGACTTCAGGATGCAGGTAGCAGAAGCTCTTATCAGAGGCTCCGAAGAAAGAAAACGCCGTGGACGGCCATCTGCGGATGCTAGTGGTCATTCTGAACACCACCACAGGGCTGCCATCCAAATTTCCGGACCGGACGTTCGTTTTGAACAAGAAGGTCATTGGCCGGATCCGCAAGTAATGACCAACTCTTCTAGGTGCCGGCTTTCCGGTTGCAAGGCCAAGTCGCAAGTTCAATGCTCTAAGTGCAAGGTGTTTCTCTGTCTGAAAGCAGGCAAGAACTGTTTTCGTGATTTCCATCACAAGTGAACGCCAGAATTGACCAAAAAGTTTGCATGTTTTCACCAGCAGAAAGACAATGATGCAAGACCTTGCAGCAAATTGCGTGCTTCAAGTACAAATTTTTTTATATGAAGCCGGGCGACAAGTATTTTTGTAATTTTAAAGTGAACTGAGATCCCAAGATTCCCCAAAGCAATATTTTTCAATCAGCATTGTTCGCTACATTAAACTTCCTTTGGAATAAATAAGTCCCAGTGTCCAGTACACTGGACGTGGTTCTCATGGGTAATCTGTTGTACGTGGTGCCTTCATAATTTTTTTGCATGAATTCTGACAGCTTCTAAGCCAGAAAACATCCCCACCATTTTTTTTTGGTTGGCCATGAAAAATTCAGGATTGAAACGGACACACACACACACACACACACACACACACACACACACACACACACACACACACACACACACACATATATATATATATATATATATATATATATATATATATATATATATATATATATATATAGTCAAGTAGATCCTCCGTGAGTGGTCACAACGTCGTTTATTTCGACGTTTCGGCCTAGAGTCTGGCCTTCATCAGGATTGAAGGTACAGTTTGTTGGTGTTCAGCTTTTTACAATCTCAAATCAGAGGAGGAGAGAGAAAGAGAAAAAAAGGAAAAAAGAAAAAAAAGAAGGAAAAAAAGATAAATAGAGTATAAGGTGGACTCCCCCCTGGCGCCCCCTTCCCTTCCACTCTTTCCTTCCACGTCCCCCTCCATATCTCTCTCCTTTCTCCTTTTCACCTTTCTGCTGACTGCAGTCTGTGTATGCTTCCTTTCACTAACGCATTCTTCCTGACCAGACGGCGCCTCCTGGCTCTGGCGGTTCGGTGTGGGGCAAAAAGAGCTTTTTTAAGAAGTTTAAGCCTTTAACTACTCAGCGCTCGTCGACATTTCGTCGTAGAAAGAGGGGTGCCGCGTATTGCCGCAGAGGCTGGCCAGCGGCCGCCATTCGAATTCCTTGCCCGCTTCTGGATTACGCGTGCAGTAGGGGCCTCCCGACTGTGTACAGGGTCGCTGTTGGACATGTCATGCTTGGCACAATTGATTGGGTAGTAAAGTAAAAACAGAAAACATACGACAGCTGTACTTAGGAAGAGTAGTGACACTTGGCATTGTTTTGAGTTGTCCAGTGCCCTTCGCAGGTGCAGTGCCGTTAACTCAGCTACTATTTTCATTATTGCCCTTATTGTTTTTTAATGCTTTAATTGCTGCAAGTGTACCAGGACTCTCATTTATTCCTCTATCGAGGGTGTTCAATTGGTGGATAAGGTATGATTGTCGTTGTTCACGTTCTCGATTTGATATAAATCCCGTCTCTAAGAGCGTTACTGATAGTTTGTCGAATGCATGGTCGGGAAGATTGAGATGTTTTGATAGTAGGTAGACTTGGGGCAGATTTCGCATGGGCTCTGTGATTATTGAAGCGAATCCTAAATGGTGTTTCTGTTTATTCGATGTACTGCATACTACACACGTTGCATTCGAGTAGATATACAACATCAGAGAAATCGCATGTTAGGTTTCCTCGTATGTTAATCGAAAACTTCGATTGTGTGCTGGTTGCTTTGTGTGTTTCTCGCATCGCCTTACATACAAGAAGACATCGTGGCTTTAAACAAGGTCGGCATGAATTATTGGGGGGTGATGTATTAATTTGAGAGTGGACAAGTGCGTCTTTGAGGTTACGTGGTCGTCGGTAAACGATGCCTGTAGTGGATGGGAATGCGCGTTTCAGACGTTCACTTTGTTCCAGAATGTTGTAATGTCGTTTAAGGATTTGTTTACATTGGGGAAGTTTGTGCTGTAAGTCAAGCAGAGGTTTGTTTGTTGTGGGTCTTCTTGCGGTGGCCGCTTCATAAGTAAGTCTTCACGCTTTAGTTTTTTCGCTTTTTGAACAGCGTCATCAATTACATGTGGGCGGTATTTTTGTTTCTCGAGCATAAGTTTTAGCCTCTGTGAGCTCGTGTCAAAGTCAGCGTCTCTAGAGCAGATTCGCCTAAACCGGTGAGCCTGGCTGTATGGAATACTGTTTTAACAGTGATGTGGGTGATCGCTTTGGTAATGGAGGTATTGTTGTCGATCCGTTGGTTTGCGATATAGGGTTGTAGAGAGCTTCTCTTCTTCTGTCGTTATGATAACATCAAGAAAATTTACGGTTATTTGCGAGTATGTGTGTGTGAAGTGTATGTTCGGATGTACAGCATTGTAAGTGTCGACAAAGCTGAGAAGATTGTCCTCACTGTGGGTCCAAATAAGAAAGATGTCTATGTATCTTCTGTATAACTTTGGTTTCAAGGAACTTTGTGCAAGAAATTCCGATTCTAGATTTCCCATAAATATGTTGGCATAATTAGGTGCCATTTTGGTGCCCATAGCGGTCCCGCTGATTTGTCGAAAATACTCTTGGTTAAACTCGAATGAATTTAGTTCGAAGACCAGCCTCTTCAAAGTTGCGATGGAAGAGAAATCAGGTGTGTTGGATTGCCTATGGTTTGTGTAGACGTTTTGTAATGCAGCTATGCCGTCATCGTGAGGAATATTTGTATACAATGAAGAGACATCAAGAGTAACCAAGTACGAGTTTTTCGGCACACACAGACCTGCAATGTCTCGAAGAAAATATCTGGTGTCTTTTATGTACGACGTGAGGGTGCATGGAATGTGGATTATTAGTTTGTACACGTACCCCGATATGGGTTCAGTTATTGTACCGATGGTTCAGTTATTGTACCGATCAATAATTATGTTACCGAGTTATTGTACCGATCAATAATTATCACAATAATTCATGCTGACTTTGTTTAAAGCCATGATGTCTTCTTGCATGTAAGGCGATGCGAGAAACACATAAAGCAACTAGCACACAATCGAAGTTTTCGATTAACATACGAGAAAACCTAACATGCGATTCCTCTAATGTTGTATACCTACTCGAATTCAACGTGTGTAGTATGCAGTACATCGGACAAACAGAAACACCATTTAGGATTCGCTTCAATAATCACTGAGCCCATGCGAAATCAGCCCCAAGTCTACCTCTATCAAAACATCTCAATCTTCCCGCTATTTTTTAATGCGAATGCATTTGGTGAAGCAGAGCAGTATACAAGTGCCGCTGTTAATGAAGACTATGTGACAAAGTCTATTGACCCTTAGAACAGCTTGCATCCCTAGCTGTCTAGCATGGTGTAAGAGTGAAGGTTTCGAAACAAATGTCAAAATGAAGCAATTACGTGCTACTCCCAATGACCTGCTTGTGGCCCGCCATTTTTTCGGATTAAAAATGGGATGTAAGGAGCTCTTATAAGTGCACAGCAGAAGTCCTTGAACACCATTACTGTTAATAACTGGTGTGCAGCTAACGGTTTAACAATTCCCACAATTAAAACAGACTTGATTGTGTTCCATTCTAGTCATAACGCTGTTTCACCTACCCCTGCTATTACTATCAACAGCCACAGACATCTTTGTACCACTAAGTTCACATTTTTGGGGGTTGTCCTAGATGCTCATCTAAAGCGCTGTTATCACATTTCACTTATAGGACAGAGGATAGCTCCTGGTATCAGAACTTTCATTAAAACACGATCATTCTTCAACTTTGCCGTAAGTATACTGCGCCATTATCCACAGTCTTATTACGTACTGCATCACGTCATGGGTGAACACCTATCCATTTCATGTCCTTCCACTTCAATGTCTCCAAAACCAAGCCATTCGCATCCTAACGTTCCGTACTCCGCTCACCAGCGTGTTTCCACGTTTTCAGCATTGTTGTGTACTAACAATGTGTAAGTTATTCAAATACGAACTGGCTATGTTTGTATATAGATTTTTAGCGCTTCCAAAAGAGCTGATTTCCTGCAGAATATTCAATTGGTAAATTCTAATCCCATTAGGTTCACCTCTAACAACAATTTGTTACTACCGCACTCAAGCACAAAATACGGCAAACACACTACCATATTTGCTGCCATACATTTTTGGAATTCAATACCACTATGCACTAAACATTTGTAATTCAACATTTATGAAAAAAAAACACTTTATCATCTCATTTCGCAGTCATAACTATTCTGTATTTATATACTTGTAGTCTCTTACATTTAGAGCTATTACTGTACGAGTTATTCTTACATTTATTACTCATGTAGATTTCAGTTGTCTGGTGTATCAATAATTAAAGTCTCTTTTGTTCAAGATTCTGCAGGAATTTTCGTCATGGCCATGTACAATTACAGAACGTTGTTTTATTGACATTTCTACTGGAATTTATATTACAAGTCTGCCTTGTTTTTATTCTTATATAAAAAGCATTTCAATTCAAGGAC